GAGGTCATCCCCTTTCCTCGACCAGGGCGACCGGGAAGTAACACGCCCACATTCTTCATTTTTTTGGGGGGTTCATGTTGTGGCACATTTGACAATTCTCTGTAACTGGTTACTTGTTGAAATAAATAAATAAAAATCAAAGGGAGTGATCGCTCTGCGGGAACACGCCCCAAGACTGGCGAAGAGCCCTTATGCCAAAGAGATAATGGGCACCGTAGTCGTTTAAACGGGGAGAAAATCAAGTGTATTTCTCAACGCGTATCGGGTGCTTGCGCACCGTGTGTGTGTGACCATTCGGAAAGGAATGAATCACTCAATGATGCACCCCTGTCGTTTGAGTTCAGTTCGATCGAAATGAAAACATCACACCCATTTTATCAACAGTTAAATGCCATCAACGCAGCATGTATAGCGGCCACACACAGTTTCCCATTGATGATCAGATGTTTCGGGGTCAGAGACACAACTAAAATAAACGGGTACTCAAGCGAGCACCATCTCCAGACAGATATAAACGATTGACGTACCGCACCCTTGACCATCACGAGGATGCGTCCGGACGGTTCGCGTACAACAACGCCCATGCGTTTCCGGAAACTGGTAAATTCCAAGACCTGTAGCACTTCATAGTGCAACTCAAGATCGCCCTGAAAAAAAAGAAACCGGAGGGAGGAAATGCAACGCATACGGGACGATCGAATCAGATGTGGAAGGTAGTGATAAAAACGATAGACAGTTGAGCGAATCGGGATGAGTATGCAAAGAAGTAAGAAGACCCCACCCACTCCAATCACATTAGGACATGTGGAGAGAAAATGTGACCATACTGTGTAAGAAGTCAATCGGTTATTTCGATGTTGAACAATTGGGAAGTATTTTTTGAACATTGGACCTCACTTCAGAAGCATCGTCAGTGTAAGATAATGGGAATTGGAACGGATAACTTTGAGAAAAATTGGATAGACAATATCGCACATTAGCACGTCAGTAATACTGTATGGTACTTTGGTCATTCACAGCGAGAGGAGGAACCGATCTCTGAAATATGGGATTCCCCTCTCTCGGTGTAAAACATCCTCGAAGGTGATTTACTGAAACGGAGATTGAGATAATCACTGTCGTCCAGTGAAATAAGTGGTTGATCTCCATAGACTACGTTGATTGGGACAAGTGTTACGCATATCACCAAATAGGTTGCCACGGTGAGCGCTGTTTACTGAGGCGGGTAGCGGATGGAAAAAGATCAAGGGTAGTCAAACTAAGACCTGGTAGGAGGGTATGAAAAGCCCTAACCAGGAGACTAGGTCACATAGGTCCAGTTAGGCTTCCTGGATGGGGACTTCGAAATCATTATCACCGATGGGTAGGGACTTTAAGTGATATACATGGCAGTGTGTCAGAGTGGTGCTCTTGTATCAACGCCGTATTCTTGCAACCCCAATCTATCAGAATTCTTTATCTTTCCCTTGAATTTGCTCTCAAAAATCCAATCATCATTCTGCTCTTTTATCCAAAAGACAGCAACTAAAACCGCCACATGGAAACTGGATAACTTGTACGAGAGATTTAGGACTGACCACTATCCAGAAGTCAGAGAAATATTTGATTTGCCTATTCACTCGAAACAAACTGCGGTGTTTTGGACCTGGTTTTACGTGCATTACGGTAACATTCATGATGAATGTATTGTGCGTCAGCAACATATAGTGCGACGAGAGCAAAATACACGGAACAGTGGTGCTTCACACGATGAATTTGTCGTGTAGATGAGGCGTGATCGAGTGAGTAGTATGTTTGTGTTCTGTCTACGATGAGGTTCGGGGTACGTGATCTCCACCCAGTTGGATTGATCTACGCGTATGCGCTACGGATGAGGCCCAATCTGGTCGGATGTGAATACTCTATTTGCTCCTCGACTCCGCTCTCAACCTATTCATTGTGCGGCTAAAACCAGCGCACGAAAATGCACGGTTAATGGTTGGAAAAACTGAACTGAACTGAACTGAACCAGGACAGAACAGCTGTGCTTCCCAACTTTTCCATGCCCGCCTCATTTACACGACGAATTTATCCTAGAATTGCTGAGTCGTAGAAAAAGGGGATCTGGTCCACTATGATCACAGTTGACATATTTACAAACCGAAAAGAAAAATTAAGAGGACGCGGTGGGGGATTGTAGATAAAAAGGCAAGTTGAGATTGGGATTGAAAGTAGGAGGAAGATAGAAAGGTTGAATTTGGAATCACAGAGAAAATTGGAAATTTTAATGGACTAAGGTTTGCAAAGAAATTGAGAATATGCACGAGCACCACTGTTCACGTCACTCAGTGTCTCTAACCATCGATTACGATTGTTTCGAGGTCGCCATCCAGGGAGCCTAACGGGACCTTCTTGGGTGGATTCCATTCAGTAGCCGAGCTATATGAGCTATACGTATCGATGGTTTGGTACAAATCAACAGCTACAGAACGAAACGTTGATGCTTATTTTCGTATCGGTGTATGCGCCGACCGACTGCAATTCGCCCCTAAATCAATTTTGATGAATCTTGCAAGGACCTCCTCAATTAATCAAACGTGTTCGATCAACTGACATCGTGATGGTAACAGAAGACTTCAATGCTCAAGTGGGATCCCTGGACGGACCCCGTGCATTCCCAGCCAACCGGCAGGACAAAGACGATCGCCTACTTCAACTCTGCGCGGACCACGGATTGTTCTTGTCAAGCACGAAATTCTCGCACAAGAAACGACACCGCCTTGTGTGGAAACCGCCAATCTCTTCACAGCACTGGGCCGAAATCGACCACATCGACATCAGTTACCGATGGAGGGGTTCGATATAACAGCTGGCAGAGGAAAACTACGCGGAGTTGTGAACGGGCCGGATTCACGATTTACCGTTCAGGTGGAAAGTACGTTCATGGTCTGTTCAAAAGAAGCTTGATTGTCGATGGGTTCGGGTAATCATCACAAGTGATCATATTGCCAACACAGTTCAAACAACTAATGAGTTGCTCTCTGACCATTCCTTACGGGTGGATTTTGCCACTCGAAAGTCTCAACATGATTTGTGGCAGGTATCCTGGGTTGCTACCGGTCACCATTTCCTAGCACCTCACAGAATGTTTCACGACAGTCAAGCGTTTCAAAAAACCTCGACCCAGTGCCTATTTTTTTATTACACACCAGTGTGTGATGAACAGCATACGGGGCAGACCCTATAGTCACGAAGATTTGCTGCTATTCGGTGAAGGTAACCGGCAGCCTAAGACCTACCGGACTTGGATCAGCGAATCATGTAAGACCCCGCTAGCTCAGGCGTGGTATAGAACCGTGCAGGTGCCTACCATCAAAGTTGGATGACGGTGGCGGGGCTCGAACCTCAAACCACAGGGTCCAAAGCACGCTGATGACAACGACCAAACGAATGCATCACCACCACCCTACATGTAACGGGGTTCTTCCTATCAAGCAAAGATAAGACAAACCTCCGGAGTGGCGGTCGCTTCGATGATATACTGATATTTCACCTAGGGGAATTGATGAAAACATAGAGTAAAAAAATTACAAGCGTTGAAATTCACACCTCTACGCTTCATGTAGTAGTCGACCACTTGGCTGAGCACAGGGATGTATTTCACAGCTTGAATGTTTGACATCGTCTAAAGTTTACCTAAGCGCATCCGTAATCTTTTAGACACAGATCGCTCATTCACGTCGCGGGCGAAATAGGACAAACTAAACAGACTGTGAGGTGATTCAAATCGACCAGTCACATGTCACATGATGACATCAGTTGCGAACTGATCTTAATGGATACACGAACATTTCAAACAGTAGCCAGTTTATTTGAACAGAACACTATAATCACTTTCTACGCCTTTCATGTCTAATATGTGCAATCAATTTTTATGGCACAACTTTTGGAAGTAACTGGATGATTCTGGACAAAGTGTCGTGCCAAAGAAGCCACGAGAATCGATGATGGCCTCCGAGCGAACAAAGATAGTCATCAGACGTCATGAAACATGCGCATGTGAAAGAATTAGAAATCCGTCCATGGGAATAGCATATCAACCGAAACGTGTACGGGTACGGCACGAGAGAGAGAGAGAGATTCGCACTCAACACTCACCAATTTGATTGAGACCCCAGTGGGAGTGCGGGTAGTGAACACATATCCCATGGCACGAGCGGCTTTGACCAGGGCAGCCTCATCTGTGAAAGGTAAGAAAGGGAGAGGCGGAGGCGGGAGAGAGCTTAGGTTCGAATTCTGAACCCGGACTAGATGGAAGAAGTCTGAGCGTGTTCACTATATCACATTGGTTGATCTGAGTTGCGGTAGGGAATCACAACAGGAAAAAAATCGGTCAAACAATTTATGATGCAACATACGTACACAGTACTACTATCGTTAGTACACTACACATGAGAAAACGTAGTACTCGTCTTCTGTTAATTGTGATGCACCGATTCCACTGCGAACATTGACAACCAGCTGATCGCCGTCAAACCCACAACAATTAAGTGGCAGTGTGTATGGAGGATAGGGAATGGACTTGTTTGGGATGGATGGGTGTTGGGCGGGGGAGGAGAAAGTGGACCTTTATGGTATGGTTTAAGTATGCAAAAGAACATTATTTCAAACATTCTGGCCTGATAAAAAGTGACAACAAGAACGCCACTGTTGTCGCTTGCTGCCATATCCTTTAGTATTACCTACCATCCAGTAATGGAGTCTGTTGGACCCCAACGCGGAACACGAGAGACACTTACTCTACCTAATAGCTCTGAGCAGTTCTTCCCATCGATACGTTGTAAGAATCAATGGCCACAGGTCCTCAAACCCATGAATAACTTAACCGCAAAGTTACGTAAGCTTTGCTTGTTCTCCAATAAAGAGATTTTATATTTCACACACGTTGGACGCCAGACAAATGTGTTCCATGATTTGTATGTGGGCCGAATACTGCCAGGTTACCTAGGCCTAGGAAGGTGAATTTCCTTGGGGAGTCCACCACCGGAGCTTTCGGTTAGCCAAAGCCTAACTCACAAGGCAGCGGGAAGTGTGCGGAAGCCGCAATCCATTTGGAGCCGGCGTCCAGTTCATTGGATCATACGCCCTTTGGACGGGATCAAAAGCGTCCAAGGTGCCCAATACACCTTGATGCCTAATCAAGCCGATGACCACTGCCACATCCAGGAAGTTGTGTATGGTTCGTACGCCTTTCCTAGGTGAACTACTAGTGGTCTACTAACCCGGTCATAGTCCTGAATGTCGGCTTTTCGTCCTCTTACTTTGGTTGGGAAACACCTCCGCTGCGAGAAGGCAGTGAGTAAGGCTTTCTCACGAGAGGCTATTCGAGACACTAGGTCGTATGGGAGCATTTGGCGAGGTGCAATGGAAGGGTATCCAGCCGCAACCCTAGACACGCACCTCGACCACCGCCGTCCCACAACTTTGGTGGTATGCAGCTTTGCTGTCGTGCGGCTCAACATCACGATTAACCTACTGGGGCGTTACGTGGTTCACCACACAAAGTTCCGCGGGGCTAAGGTTGCTGATTTTCATTGGTGATTAGCAGCAGGTCTTCGGGACTATCGGATTTGCCCCGTCTGCTGTTCATAACGAAAATATGTGATAGAGGGAATACCTTTGTCAAACAGTCCTTGAACGAAAGTAATAATATCAGGAACACGGTGAAGCTAATTCTTCGGGGATATTACGTAACTCAGCAATGCATCAATGAGAAAACTCCATCAAGAGAGGATGCATATCAGTAATTTAGCTGGGCGGAAAATGACGATTACATGAAATCACAGAATGAATTCCGTTGTACAAAGGGAGTGGGAGTTGTGAAGTGAATAATTCACCAGAAGCATTCATTGCACTTCTACTTCAAGANTCAAGATTGTATCGAACCCGCAGCAGAATGGGAGATAATCGAGCAGCCTCAGAAGGTGTGAGTATGGTCTGGGGTGGATGTCTCGGGTTGCAACTGTACCTCACTAAGGAAGCTTTACTTAATGCCTTCCCGTGTTGCGGAGGTGTTTTCTCACCAAAGTGAGAGGACGAACAGTCTACATTCGGGATACAACCGCATCGGTGAATCACTGATAGTTCTCCCAAGAGTTGGTTAAAAACCCTAATCCCCGAACAACCAAGAAGGAGTGTATGAGCAACACGCGTCCACACCTTCCTGATCGTGGCAGTGGCTATCAGCTCGATTGGTTGCCTAGGTGTGTTGGCGACCTTGGACGATTGGCCCTGTCTAAATAGGCATAAGATCCGATGAACTGAACATGGAAAATAGCGAACTGCTGCTCACGCACCCTGAGGCCCTAGTCGTTCATATTCACCGCTTGTTGCATCAGTACTGTCTCGGTGATCGACCTACAAACACTCTGCTGGTTCCTCGTTTTTGTTTTGCCGGCTGATGTTTTTTCTATCTTGTCTTCACCCAGCTTCCGTCATCTTGCTGACTACAAAAATCACTTTGATTGCACTATGCACGCGTATAACAGATGCTGCGGAATGACCCCCGGGATACGTTTTACAAAATAATTCAGTTGTTACCAGAATGCCAGTCTTGTCGGGATTCGAACATGCGTGATGGATACCACATACGCTTTTGTAAAGCATACACTCTGTCGACGCTACGAAACCATACCTTTCACATCTGATCGCTCATCACATTTACAAGAGCACACATATGGACACACCACGTAGCACAGAAATTGACTATCATGGCACGTGCTTCTTCGAATCCTGATCGATGTTTCCTTCGGGGTTAGATGCAGCAAGTACGGGGGTATTACAATGCTAAGCCCTGTATCACACTTGTGGTTCACTGGTGCGTGAATAGATTCGACTCCAGACCGAACTGATGAATTGGTATTTACAGTGTGAGTCATAAGAGCACAAACATGTGAAAGCACAAACTGCTTTCTATCCACGCCGAGGTGTTTATCAAGAGACTATCGATAGCGTGCAAGATAGGATAGGGTATGAACGGAAGAGAAAATACTGCAAGTGAGTACTTGTCTATGTGGAACATAGTTCATGTTTTCACTTGCATACTTTTCGAAACATGAAAAATACCAAATGTGAGCACTGAAAAAAGTTCGCATAACACTTGACGAAACGGAGAGAGAAAAACTAGTCATTAGTCAGCTTGCTCCTGATTATGAGCCGACTTATTATGTTAATCGAGTTGAATGATATTTTTTACCAGTACTTCAAAGACTCAGGATGCTATGCTAGTCGGCCTTGTTCAACGGATTTTTCTCACAACACACACTTTCGTGTAATGAACAGCAGACGGGGTAAAACCCATGGTCACGAGGATCTGCTGCTGTTCACTGATGGGGACCGGTAACCTAAGCCCCACGGGAATTGGATTGGTGAACCATATAAGGCCCCGCACTAGGTTAGGCGTGGTAGTGAACCGGACGACAGCAAAGCTGCCTACCACCAAAGTTGGGTGGCGGTGGTGAGGCTCGAGCCTCAGACCATAGGGTCCAGAAGCCCCGTGGTGGCGAATCGCGTAAGGCTATACTGGTATAGTAAAGACACGGGCGCAGCCATTTTGAATGGAATGTGAGTCGTGTTTATCTCTCTGTCACCGGACCCTCTTTAGTTCATGGTTGCATTTTGTACAAGTACAGAGCGAACGAACACTGATGAACTGAGGATGCAACTGTGCAGATTCGATCGTTTCTATCACCAAAATTACAATTTTTTTTACACAACGTGAATAACAGTAAAAGGGGAAATCCCCATGGACAAATAGCATAATGTAAAAGAGAAAGTAGGAGAAACTTCACGTAAGATCCAGTTTATTGATTTTGTGTTTAAAAAGTGTAAGAGAAGTAAGGCATCTGGGAACAGGAATTTGATAAAGATGTCTAGATGCTTGTGTACGGTATGGGTGGGTAAAAGTTGCAGGAAGAGGAACTGTCGAGGCAAGTTCCGAAGAACAAAAACCAAATTAGTAGCGATAGAACAAGGACAATGAAGCAACTGCCC